CAAAAGGAGGACTATCCTCCCTAAAGGAGGACGGTTGGTCACGTCACACGTGCTCTGTAAAATTTCTACATGTAGACTGTAAGATTTCTACACAAAAATTTCTACACATAGGCTGTAAGATTTCTACACAATTTCTACATGTACATGTACTTTGTAAGAGTTCTGCACATAGGTTATAGGATTTCCACACTAAGCTGTGGGATTTCATGGTGAAGTACATATAAGGGAATAGGTGAAGCAAAATAGCAAGGGGCAGCGATAATGTATTTTGTTTAGGGGACCCTGATAAGATTGTAATCTCTAAAGCAGGGTTGTCAAACTCAATTTCACTGAGGGCCACATCAGCATTGCGGTTGTCCTCAGGGGGCCGGGTGGGTGTGGCCAGGGTGGGTGCAGCCTACTGGGTGGGTGTGGATGGAGTGGGTGTGGCCTACTGGGTGGGCATGGCCAGCTCTACATCATTGGCGTCAAGGGGGCCTGTGGGGGTCTGGGCAGGAGTGGGACAGATCTGAGGGTCTCTGGCACAAGGGGGTGGGACCAGGGCAAGTGCCAAGGCATGATCCACAGGAGGAGCCTCACTGTTCCTCTCAGGCCATGCGGGGGGGGGGGCTTATGGAGCTAAGACTGAATGCGTTTCAGCATAGATGGCCACCACAAAATTGTACATTGGCTCCTGGCCAGCTTGGACCAGAGCCAAGGCAGTGGGGGCCGTTCCCTCACTGTTTCCAGGATGGCTTCGGGGGCCACATGAAACCACTTCCCGGGCTGCATCCGGCCCCCGGGCCTTGTATTTGACATGTCTGTTCTAAAGCTAAGCCAATGGAGCCACAGAGGAGGGGCCAAGGCGTTGGGATAGAATGCATATAATGTGTGTCTTTGCTGTGACGAGGTATGGCTCAAATATTTATTTGGAGTCCACCACGCTTTGCAAACCATTGTATCCAATGAATCTCTGTCTAATTTCAACTTGCTGTTTGGTGTTATTCATTGGGCTAGAATTTCTGCCAACAGTAGAATATTATATTTGCTCAAAGGATCTTAAAGGCAGAAAGTCTCAAATAGAAACCAGGTCAGCAGAAATGCAAATGTGATAATCTTGTCAGAAAGACTGGAGCCAGGAAACTGGGATTAGAAAGATCTCTAGAAGCAACAATCCCTCCCACCAAAAAAACCCAACACTCATCAGCCCCAGCCCCTAGCCTAGGCAGAGGCCAGCTTTTAGAAATGCAAATTCAATAATCCTTTCAGAAAGATTGGAGCCTTCCAGCTAGAAACTGAAGACATTAGGAAGACAAAGACCCTTAAAATCACATACTCCCACCCAAACTCTAAGACAGGACATAATAAGATTAATCCACCAATGCCAAAGGGGCACACTCAGACTCAGGCCAAAGTACACGACACAGGAAATACAAAGCCTCAAACAGGAACAGGAAACAACCTCAAGAGCCCCAGAAGGTATAAAAATCCACTCCCTATTATATGTGGTCACTTTTTTTTTCCAGAGCCATTTATCTGTCTGGCTGTCCTCTTCAATAAACTATAACCTTCTTTCTAAGGCAGTCAGTCTCCATGTTGTTTATTCCTGGCTTAGAATGGACCCTGATGAAGATTTTTCTTTCAACACTCCTTTTCTAATTAACTGTACTTCTATATATCATACTTGTTAATTACCAAGATTGTCCAAAGTCACTCAATTAGCAGTCTTATTAAAACAAAATAGCAATAGCATTTAGACTTATATAGCGCTTCACGGTGCTTTATAGTCCTCTCTAAGTAGTTTGCAGAGTCAGCATCTTGCCCCCAACAATCTGGGTCTTCATTTTACCAACCTCGGATAAATGGAAGGCTGAGTCAACCTTGAGCCGGTGAGGATTGAACTGCTGGGTGTGGGCAGAGTTAGCCTACAATACTGCAGGCTAACCACTGCATCCCCATAGCTAAAGTAAGATTATCATAGGCAATACTATCCTAATGATAAATATGCATCAATATGATAAATCTTCAGAGTCAGTTAAACCTACAATACAATGGAAATTAATTGAATAGAAGAATAAAATACAAATGGTGAGAGTCAGGAAGAGATAACATAAAGGAAGTAAGATGAACCATATAGGCAAAAATATCTTGGTCTGAGAAAGGAAAAAGAGAAGCCATAAAAATATATATAGTTTTTAAAAGGAAATGGCTAGCCAGGAAGGACAGGTTGAAGGGGAAAATAGGAAACTAAGCCAAATAAGATAAGAAGAGAGGCACACTGAATTGAAAAGCAGGAAAAGAACTTATTGTTTAAAATGGGGACATAAATATATACTGAGTTTAAAATAACCATTTAAATGTCTAATTTTTCTTATTCTTATTGTATATGTGAATATGATTTAATATGTTATCAGGAAATGTGTATAGGCGGTTGGAAAGAGTGTAACCTCATACTACCTCAGCCAATGGGGAAAGAGGAGGGCTGTAGCGGCCGGTAATAGGGATGAATAAAAGAAGGAGATATTTTGGGTTAAAACTTTGGAGGGAACCAAGCTTTGATAACTTCTCTCCCCGCTTATTGCAATAAATGAAACAAAAGGCCTTCACTGTGTCTTGGCTAGTTATTGGTCAGGCGAGCTTGCCTCTGGTCACAAGGAAAGTAGCCAGGAGCACATAACACTAATGTCTCTTCTGCAGGTGGTCAATTGGCCAAGGATATTTTAAACGTAAACTAAAAAGGTTAAAAGCCTAATAAAGGAACATATTAAAGAACATATTAGACAGAAACAGGATTTCACAAAAAATGAACAGAAAGGGAAATGTAGAACTAAAATTTAATATAGAATAAAGTCCACATCCAAAGAGGAGGAAAAATATACATATAAGATTCTCTACCTTTTCTTCCATTAAAGTGGGAAAGAAATAGAATAACATAGAATAAAGAAGAATAAAGTAAAATAATAATAATAATAATAATAATGAAAAATCACTAAAAGCAAAAATCATGTGTCTGCATAATCTCTGAAAAGAAAGCTGTGTTAACAAAAGCTGTATTAAAAGCTGAATGACCTAATGCATATTTAGAAACATTGTATAAAAGTAAAAACTGCCTTCATTGTTATTCCCATGAGAAATGGAGCTAACCTGTGAGAAACTATCTGAATGTTACACAAAGTAGATTCCATATACAATGTAAGATTCCATCTATGCTTCCTTTGTTCCTGAGAAAAAGAAACCTAAAAAGCTTTAGTTCAGACCCTCCCCCTTGTTCAGAAATTTGCTGATTGTTAAGTCATTTCTGAACCTTTTTGCGCAAAAATAAAGATCTCTCTTTCACCCATGGAATTTCGTAAAAGTCCTTATATTTTTAAAGCTTTATTTTTCCACAAGACCATAGTGCTAATACATAGGATTGGGAGGATAATCAGCATAGCAGCCAGTTTAGTTTAGTTGAGGCACCAGGGTGGAAAATCAGAGAGCTTGAATTCAAATGTCGCCTTAGGCATGAAAGGCCGCATAGTGACTTCAGGCCAATTCGTTTCTCTCAGCCAAGCCACCTCACAGGGTTGCTGTAGTGAGGAAAATGAGGAGGAAAGTATGTTGGATATGTTCACCCCCTCCCCTTGAATTACTCATAAAAATAATAAGGGCGTGTGGGAAGAAAAATCAGGTCCGGTTCCAAGCCAGCCGAAAGATGCTGAAAATAAAATGGAGGCTACAGGAAAGAAGGTCTCTTGTTTATTTGGTAGCCAGACACTTGTGACAACAGTATGTTTCTGGAGTGGCTGACAAAATGGATTGAGAGTAGGTGGAGTTTTATACATTCTTTGGGGCTTTGAGATGCCTGTTCATTGTGAAATGTACTTCGACCAGTGCTTGAATATGCCTTAATTATTGTTGACTGGTTCCCATTGTGGCTAGGAGGTCATGCCCTGTCCTTGGAGCTGGGTTGAGGAATGTAGATTTTAAGAGTCTTTGTTTTTGTACTTTTATAATCCCATCAGCTTCGGTCTTGTGTGGAGGCTGTACCTGAAAGCCTTTTGTTTATGAATGGAGCTGTCTGGCTTTCTGTAAATTAATGCAATGGAATGTTCCAGTTTTTTCAATAGATACAAAAGTATCTCATTCATACAAGTTAACTTAAGCCTCCTTTTGGGGAGGCACGAATGCTGATTTCCTACAGGTGGGATACAAATAAATAAAATATTTTAAAGGGCAGTGGTTGAGCTTTATGAAGAACTGACCAGAAGAGCCCAATCTGCTTTTTAGTATCCATTTTTAGTTATTTCTTTCCGATTTTTGTGGTTGACTTTGTATTGCTTTTATATTTTAATGTTAATATTTATCATTTTAAAGTATTAATGATTTACATTCTCTTTTTTGTCTTGTAAGCTGCCTACTTGATAGCAAGATGGGCAGCATATAAATTTAATAAATAAATAAATAATAGCTGTCCAGAGTCACAACAGTGAGTTGGGGAGCTGTGTAATTTTACCAGGTATAATAACTGTAGGCTACCAATTTGTTTACACTTTCCAAACCCTGTAAAAATACAAAAAGTAAAAACTTTTACAAAGATCCCACTCTCTAATGCTATTTAATTTAATAATAATAATAATAATAATAATAATAAATGAATAAAAAGTTGGAAGGGATCTTGGAGGTCATCTAGTCCAACCCCCTGCTCAGGCTGGAAACACTATACCATTTCAGACAAATGGCTGTCCAGTTATGATTTTTTTTAATGATTTCTTAAACTGCATGTGATTCAGATGACCCCGTAAAAGGCACTGAGCAGCTTACAAACGGCACGAAAGGGAGAAAAAAAGCTGCATATGAACCCCGCGATGGATCGCTGAGGCTGTCAGAAACAGCCCTCTCTTAATTTTTCTTATCTCTAAGGTGCTCGCAATGCCTTCCAAGGATTGGTCGTTTCCAATCCTCTCGCGGCCAACCGAGCGGACTGCCCATTGGATGGCAGGAGAACCACAGAGACCGGGTCCTCCAGGCAGGCGCAGAGCGCCGCGCGTGCGCACTAGGGGGCTGTAGCATGTGGGCTTTTTCGGCCAGGCGGTAAGATGCAGAGGGCAGCGGGGTGAACCGATGCTGAAGCTGCAAGGGACGCTGCTGTGGGGCACAGGTCGGTGTGGCGTGTGTGGGACGGGGGCGCGTAGTGAATGGGGGATTCCTCAAGGAAACCTTTCACCTCGACCCGGATCTTTCGGGAAGGGCGCTTTGCCCTACTGGGGCGGGTGGATTTGAACTCGCCACCCTTCCTCTCTTTGGGGGGGGGGGTAATAGGGACACAGATATGCACATCTTGAACTGTGGGTACCTTCCCTGGCCTCCTTGATTGACAACCTTTCATCGATCGGGTTGGCCCGGGTTGGTGTTTAAATGGGAGACCACGAGGAGATCCATGAAGGCTGCCTGGAGGACGGAGTTGAATCGGGATTCAGCCACTTCTCTGTTGACGCTAAGAAACGTGCCCGCACACGATGTCCCTGAGGAAATCAAGAGTCAGGCTCAAGAGAGATCTTGCCTGTTATTTGACGTTCCTTGTTGCAACTGGCCACCACAACTGAGACTAAAATTTCCCTTGCTAAGTGAGTTTTGCCACATTATACGACCTGTAGCCATCATAAATACATGCCAGTTGCCAAGGGTCCGAATTTTGATCCTGTGATCATGGGGATGCTGCAACGGTCGTAAGTGTGAAAAACGGTCATAAGTCCCTTTTTTCAATGCTGTCGTAACTTCAATCACCAAACGAATGTAAGTCGAGAACTACCTGTATTTGTTTCCCACAATACCCAATGAAATCCATTCCCCTCCCTAATGAAGAAAAGTGCAGGGCCCCGTATCTCCTCCCCACCGCTTAACATTAGTACTAGCGTATACATTTAATAAAAAGAAATAAATAGATGAACAAATTTAGCTGTTTTTTAAAAAAATTGAATTGGTGTATTATATTGTTTTAGATACAACCTGGTCAGTAAAAGCTGCAACGGCTACTTTTATAGAGCAGGGCTTTTCAAACTTGGCCCTTTTATGACTTGTGGACTTCAACTCCCAGAATTCCTCAGCCAGGCACCCGTGCCTGGCTGAGGAATTCTGGGAGTTGAAGTCCACAAGTCATAAAAGAGCCAAGTTTGAAGAGCCCTGTTTATAGAGTATCCTAAACTTGGTTTGGATTTCTCTCAGGATTGGGGTTGCGTATTGGATGAGATGTTTTATTGTAATCGAGAAAGGCAGGTGTGAATATGGCCATTAAGATGTTTTACTTTCCTGAAATGGGGGGGGAACTGATCCCCCATTCTTCTGAAGGTTGGAGAAAGAGTGACATAACGGATAAAGTGCTCATCCTTGATTTTCTGTCTTACCTATGAAAAAGAACCTCTGCAGGTTCTGGAGTGCCATCCCCAACCGAATTAAGCAGTCTTGAGCCTGATAAATAAATAAAATTTTGCCAGATATGAAATGCTTTGTTTGCAAGTCAGAGGAGACCATGTGCTCTTTTTCCACTGCTTGCTTTGTCAGGCCTCCCCTACCAACCTGAAACATGCAGATGGAATAAATGGGTTGATTGCATATCTGTAACATCCAGAAAAAGAGGTTCCCGGCGTGATATATAGTAAAGGCCTTACAAAATCCAAAATACCAGTAGAATTGTTATGTAAACCAGTGGTTCTCAACCTATTCGTGGTTCCCTGTGGTGGTGGGGGGGTCACACTGTCATCACAGGTCCACAAAGGGTGGAAGAAATGTTATGATTTAAATCTTTTAAGTTAAGTCTTGGTGGTCCGTGGCCATGGTCTGTGGCCACAAAAGATATTTAAAGGGGGACCTGTAGTGAAGAAAAGGTTGAGAACCACCGATGCAAACGATATAAAAAAACACACTGAAACTAGCATAATGGATAAGTAGAAGTATGGAGCAGCGATATATACAGCATCTTTTTTTTGTCCACCTAATCCAGTGGTTGTCAACCTGTGGGTCGGGACCCTATTTGGGGTCGAACGACCATTTCACGGGGGTCGCCAAACAAGGTTGTCCGCCATTTTTCCCCCTTTTCTTTGGCCACGCCCCTGGCACCCGGTGATGTATAAGTGGTTGGGGGTCACCACAACATGGGGAACTGTATTATGGGGTCGCGGCATTAGAAAGGTTGAGAACCACTGACCTAATCAATACTGTATCTTCTGAAATTATAGGGGAGAGAGGAAGGATGGGAAGAGAGGAGGAAGAGGGAGGAAGGAAGGGAGAAAAGAGAAGGGAGAAGTGACCAGAGAGGAAGGAAAGAAGGAGAGAAAGAAAGGGGTGAAAGGAGAGGAATAGAAGGGAAGAGAGAAGGAGAGAAGAAGGAAGAAAGAAAAGGAAGAAAGGGAGAAAAGAGAAGGAAGGAGAGGAAGGGAGAAGTGACTAGAGAGGAAGGAAGGGGTGAAAGAGGAATAGAAGGAGGAGAGAAGAAGGAAGAAAGGAAATCCAATCATAGTAAAGAAGTAACAACTCTTTGGATTTTTAAAACAATTTCTCAAATGCTTCGGAAAATAAAACAAGACAATGTGGTTGGTAGAAAGTCCATCGCACAGGCATCAGTAGAATTACGTTGTGGAGGGTGTTTTACAGCTGGAGGATCCCTGCTTTTCTTTGGTAACTGCTTGCCTTGCCCCTAGACTCCATTGCCTGGAAAGTCAAGAGGGAAGGAGATGTTGGTTTGTTTCTGTCCCTGATGGCCTTTTGTAACCAGTTCCCATGACAATCAGCCTTCTCTCACTTTTAGGGAGCCTCCGTGTTGGGATGAGATGTCACTCGACCAGGGTAAAAGAAGAAACCAGGAAACTATGGTTACATGAGCAGGTGGAGCTGCTGGAGGGTAAGCCAATAGACAAGAATAAAAATAAAGGTCTGCAGATACTTATGTGCGGCTCATATTCAGAACTGGATGCCTGTGTATTTGATGCGTCGGCTGCAGTGATTTCTATGCTTGCAGTGTGAGTAACTCTGAGCAGCTGAAAGGAATACGGGTAGTCCTCAGCTTACGGCCCACAACTGAGCCCCAAATTTCTGTGGATAAATGAGACGGTTGTTAAGTGAGTTTGGCCCCATTGTACGATCTTTCTTGCCACGGTTGCTAAGTGAATTGCTGCAGTCGTGAAGTTAAGTCATGCGGTTATGAAATGAATCCGCCTTCCCCACTGACTTTGCTTGTTAGAAGGACGCAAAAGGGGATCACAGGAGTCCA